CTTTCAAGTTCGTCAGATTTTTGTTCATACGTAATAGCTTTTAGCGTATTTTATTTGACGCACATAAAAAGAATTCTTTAGTCTGCTACGCACAGTTGACTGTTCGTCTTTTTTCCCTTTTTTTCTCTCTCTCTCTCTCTCTCTCTCTCTCTCCCGATATGAAAGAATCAAAGCGCGTTTGAGACCTTTGAAAAACGTTCGCATACGCAGTCATACGAGTGCCTGCCACATGTATCCTACAAAAAAAGCATAATAACTGTACACGCTTGTGGAGATACTATACACAGTGGCTCCGTTAAGAATTTGAACGCACAATTTCGAATAATTTTAATCTATTAAGCATTTGAGTGCAGCATCATGTTATACTTGCAGTCACACTAGTAAATGAACCATCTGCATACGTAGAGACGAATGATAAGGGAATTTTTCGCGTAAAAAACCGGTTGATTTAAAACTCAATTTTACCCAAAGGCAAAAGCACAGAACTATTCAAAATTGGCTCTTGGCCGCCGAAGTAAATAAATAATAAAAATAAAGGTATTGTTGAGCTGGAATAAGGTGGCGAGTATATTATCTCGCAAAAATCTCTCGTTTGCGTGCCCGCGAATCCCGGCGTGTCAATACTGCCCCTTTCTATACGCACAGCTTGCACACACTCACACACGTACACGTGCATGTATATTTATACTTATGCACGCGCTTACACTAACACAGACTCATACCGAGTAGTGGTAAGCATACGTACTTACACGTAGCTTTCATCAATGCGCGCACATATATACACATGTATACGCGCGCGCAGAGGCAAGCGCGAACGGGAGAGAGAGAGAGAGAGAGCTAAAATTTGCATATATTTGCACGACTCGCGCACGCACCGTACCTATGTATATACGTATATGTGTATACGGTATAATAGGCACATATATATGCTCATGGGGCGAGCGCGATGAGAGAAAGAGAGAGAGAGAGTGAGAGAGAGAGAGAGACGAAGCGAGAGCTGTGGCAGCGTTGGTGGTGGTAGAAGCATTGATCGCACCAGGGGTTCCGCTGCTGCTGCTAACAACCCAACCCCCATGGAATTGATGAAGCGCCTGCGCAGAATCTGCAGAGCAGTAACAGTGGTTCTCCATCGGTTGCCGCGATCTCGCTTTGGTATAATAGTGAATGCGAGCAGTGTGTGTGTGTGTGTGTGTGTGTGTGTGTGCGTGTGTGTATGTGCAAGAGAGAGAGAGAGAGAGAGAGAAAGCGAGCAAATGCGAAAGAAGGATGTTGCAGAAGTGGCAGTAGCAGCAGCTGGCTGGTGGCTGGTCAGCTGATCGAGGCCTCTCGCACGTGCGTTAAAACCGCGACTTCAAGACTTTGGCCGTTAAATCATACACATTATTCTCACTCCACACCACTACTGCAGTCGTTTTTTTACTGTGAATGACGATCCGGGCTGGACCGAGGCGAAATCGGTACCGATTGCCCAACCGGATCGTGTGCGGGGCGGTGAAAATGTAAGGTTCCAGGTTTCGTTTCATGTGACGCTGTAACGATTTTAAAATAAAAATACTACCTGTACCCTCACGTATTTTCTGTACTCGGTCACATTGAAATTGCAGAGCTACTGCGAATTCGATATAAATTTCTTCGCGAATTTCTACGTTGATTGAGATATTAAATAAATCTCGTATTGTCAAGTTCATCGTTCGTTGTTGTTGATGATTTCGAGTAAACGAACAATACTCATCGTTGAACGATTAATTAAGCGATGGCTCGATGAAATCCTCGTATTTCTCGAGATGCGCGGCTGCTTCTTGAAAAACTGCTACTACGACGATACGTCACTCGGGCGTTAATTGAGTAATCGAATCAATCAATTGCGAAAAAATAAAAGCAAAGGCGAAAAAAAAACATGTGTGGCAGTGGCGCTGCTTAACTTTCTCTCGATTCGCGTGCGCGGAAACTCGTGTAGCGAGTCGTTGCCCGTTGTCGCAGAACGAATATGTGGAGCAAAAAGCTCCCGTGCTGCCGTGGCCATCATTCACAGCCGCGCTGTTCTCTCTTTCTCTTAGTCGGATCGTCGCCGCGCGCGTACACACGCTTAACTTTCCGATCACGCGGCGCTCGTTCGTCTTCGTTTGACTTTTTCGCGCACATGTTTACTGTTTCTTGCACACACGTTCACACACGTTCACCCACATAGCTGTCCGTAGGTAGTCTACGCACCGAGTACTCTATAGGTAGATCTTTATGTATACTCCCAACGGTGCCACTGCATCGCGTCGATGTCTGGCGAGCTCGTTGCAGCAACTATACGATGACATTGAATTTTGCCTACTTTTCCCCCGAGCTTGGCCCGGCTATACGTTCCGAGAGAAGAGAGAAAGGCGTGTTTCTAGCCGTACTCGCATTGGCAGTTCTCTTCGGGCACCTAAGCTTCTATAACGTAAAGAGCTCAGAATGCCGAGAAAACATTCGGACTCTCGCGCAAAGCTCGTACGTACTGGCCGAATCCGATTGAATTGTCACCGGCTGCTGCAATCCTTCTCTTTTTCCATTCAATTTCATTTGCCATGCCGATCGTAAATACATTTCCTTTCCTTCCATCGCACAAGCAGTCGATGTCGTACGTTAAACAATAAAGCATCGCAACCGAAGTAAGCTCGGATTGTCGTTGTCGTTGTAAAAAGGGGCAAAAACAACGACTTTGCACGCGTCCGCGCGTATAAAAAGCAAAATGCAGTGTACGTTTTGATTCATGGTCGCGTGTGCGCAGTAGTGAGCGCGCACGACTCCTCGCAACGTGGCGAATGGCTCTTAAACGAGTTCGGAGTAGATTAGCGTAATTGACAAATAGAGACTTGGACGCCCGCTCGCTCGTTCTGCAGTTAAAGCGAGGTCAAGTGTCAAAGTTTGGAGGCTATGTAAGCTGCGCCGCGTCGACGTATATACTCGGACTTGTTGCTCTTTACTTTGTATGTATATTCTTCATTAAGTCAAAGATGAAGTTTCATCGACTCGCACAAGTCCCACGATGTGCGATCGACCTACATTTTTCAATGTTATGTAATCTGACGACTTGACTAATTGCTTTCTCTGAATATGTCCATTGTGCGAGCAATCAAAACTAGCAACATTTGCTTTTCTTTTATTGTATTGAGCGCAATGTTTGACGATCTTTTTGTATTTTCACCTTTATGCGTTTTTAAACTCAGTATCAAGTGTAAAGCTACAAAATAACTTGTGAACTTGTTATCGATGAGTGCAATTGAATTGAATTGTATTATTTTGCCATTACCATGGTTGCCTAAACCATATAAAAACAGATTTCTTCATTACGCGCTGAACGTCAAGCTCAATTTTGCTAATGTAAAACCAAAAGTAATAGTATAAAGTATACCTCACTAATAAAATACTGAAAACCCATGATTAGTTTTAAATATCCTAAGCATCAGGACAAGTATGCATCCACACGTGTAGTACGTTCAGAGAGTTACAAAGCCAAACCGCACACCACGCCAACCAGCTTGGCGTGCGGCACAAACAATCACACACAGTCGTGCTTCGCTGGCCCCGCAGTCGCGTCCAAAGCTCCGAAAGCTTTCATTTCGCGAAAACGATCATATTAATCTTTACTGACGGCAGCTTTAATAATCAGAGAAATCGCTATCTTGAACTCACGGCTACTTGACTAAATTATTACAGACGCGCCATACGTTCAAAGCGAATTCGTACAGGAGTTTTGCCTCATCGCCAATGTATGCGTCTTCATACGTAACGTACGGTGTGTCGAAAGATAAGGAAGGCGTCTTTCGCTGCGCGTATACTTGTCATTGAGCTTGTATATATGTATGTTTGCAGACATGCTATATGGTCGCGCACCGCGGCAGCTATTCGTTAATTTATAGGCCTGCAGCTAGCGAACCGGTACACAGGCTCGCGCGCCATTATTTATATCGTTTTTTTTTAGGATGCAACGATTGTAAACTGTGAGAAAATGTGTCGGATGGCTCCTTGCAATCGCGTCTTTTGGGTCGTTTTGCTTATCCGCGCGAGCTTCTCTAAAAATAGCTCGCGGGTCAATTGCGTCTATGGATTTATGACTTATGCTAATGCTCCTCAAAGATTATTTAATGTATGCGCATTAATTATTACTATAAACAGCAGTTTGTCGTCGATGCAAACTGCATTATTATAATGGGCGCGTGTGCGTGTGTATCGATGAGTGGTATTAAGATGAATTGTTCTGCTTTATCATAATCGTGTGCATATGTGTGTTGTTTGTAAATACTCACGGACGCACGTACACTTGCACAACTGCGTATAGGTTTCTATGTAAATGAGTGTCAGTGTTATGATTTGTGTCACTCCTGTACGCAAGCTATAATTCTCTCGCGGCTCAGCGTCAATCTCTCCACTAATCCATTATATATAATATCGACTCAAGTGTCCATATCATCAATCTTCATGCCCATTAACGTTGATCGGTCCAATGTGTGAGTGAAATATTTATTGTTTCGAAGACACGTGAGTGAATGTGTTCATATTCTGTTTATTTAACTGAAAGCTCGATGCACAATCATACGACAAGAAAAAATTTCTTTGCAACTAATGTTTCAATTATTGATTACGTGCCACGATGAATTTTTAGACGATTGGTTTGGGTAAAAATGCGAGCCAATATTACAGATTGCTATGCATTAAAAAAGTATCGTTTTAATAGTACTAGTATTTAAATTCCTCTTTACATTATAGCAATCTTTTTACATTGGGGAGATGTTATTTACAAAGTTTATGTTTACATTTGAGTTAAATTTTAAGTAATTTTTACACAGTATTAAAAAGTGGCCAGGTTTCTATCTGAAATTGCACGAGTGTAAAAATAATGAATAACACAGACGATCAATTGTACAATACATTCTAGTCATACGAGTTTTTTACATGCATAGTTCAATTATTGAGTGTAAACTATTTCATCTGTTATCCTAACATTACCGATCAATCTTTACTGACAGATCTTCAATGCCTGTCCCCAGGAGGCCCACGCCATACTATGGACAACCAGACTACAGATTTTACGAACTCAACAAGAGGCTTCAGCAACGAGCAGACGTAAGTACATTTTTTTATTATAAAAAAAATTTCATTTAATACTGCACTAACGCGTGAATGGAGAAGCAACATACAAGCGTAATATCGTAGCTGCGTGTGGCCAGTAAAAAAGTTGTCGCCAAAGAAAGGACTTTACACGCGTTAGCTGTCAAGGACAAAAAATAATCCAAGCAACGTTTATCCCTTGCGCGAGCGCGCGCGCCAGTGCAAGACGCGCGAGACACTTCGACACCATCGTCCAGACTCGAGAAAGATTTCCGATAGTCGATAAGATATATAGGTACATTTGCCGTGTCGGCTTTGCTGTTGCGCGCGCGCGCGGCTCTTGCTCGTACTGCAGCAAGCTCGTGGCATGAAAATATATATGTACAGGGCTCGAGTGCGGTAACGATCGTCGTCGCGCGATTCTATCGTTTTTCGATCTACGTCTCTTTTTCGCCCGCTTTGCACCGATTTCTTTCAAGCTTACCGTATAATTTACTTGGTTGAATTTTAGCCGACTTTTGCACGAGCGCGTGGCAAGCAAGTAGCAATTGACAGACCGCAGAGATTGTAGAAACTCGCGACTAATCTGTGCAAGTCGACCGGCCAAGTTGTGCGCTGTGCAAGCTTTGGATCGTGCCGGCGTGGAATCTCAAGTTTCAGCACCCTCTCATTATAACCAGCGCCGCAAGCACAGAGTCAATTGACTCTTTCGCAGGGCTGTATATACAAGCGGCGCGTGGGCGTCTATACACTAGAGCCATCGATCTTACTGTCCAGCGGCCGCGTGCCGGCTGGTTATATAGTCGCTCGCTCGCGCGAGTGTGTCGCAAGATCGTTTGCACACGCGTGCCCGCCAAAGAGAGGCTCGATGATTCGGTAATCGCTGCAGGATTAGCCAACACTTACGCCACGCCGCTCGGCCGTCCATCAATCTTATATGCCCTCCGAGAAAGCATCGCTTATAACAGCTTAATAAGCGCTTCATATAGCTCTTATCGGTCAACTTGCCATAGTTCAACTCACATAAAGGCGCACGCGCGCTTGCGGCCAATTCTCCCGAGCTTCGCGCCTACATGCTTTACGTACGACGCATGCCTGCCGCCGCAGCTATACCTATATCCCCTACCATGCACACGTGTGTAATCAACGAGGCGCCACAAGACTGCACAGTGCTCAACCAAAAGAAAGTATTACAACGGGACGAAAGCTGCAGATTTACGATAGCCAAGAGCTGCTAAAATCGCGCGCGATGATCTTTGACGAAAAAAGAAAAAAACGAAATAGCCATATACTTTGGGCTTGTAATGTAACGCGCTTTAAGGAAGTTACTCATTTTTTGCAAAATAGTCACAGCGTTATCGCGGTGTTGAATATTTTATGCGTGGCAAAAAAATTACATTTTAAATTAACAAACGATTTCCAAACTGAGCTTTTACATAGTGAACAAGTTCTAAAAGCTTAGACGCCAATGGTGCTTTATTAAAAATCAACTCTACGACGTCGATCAAGAGAATAGACAAACATTGAAAACGGAGTGTTTCATTAAACAATGGCACGTGAAAGTGTATTATAAAAGTGCAATTTCATACATATACGTATATTATTGTCGTGGCATGACCAGCGACCATAAATCATCTTCGCTTCCTATGCATATGCATAATATACCGGTGCGGTATCTCGCGTCACCATTGGGCGTGCTACACATCGCGCGCGTTATATCGAGCTATGTGTGCGTAGTTTATAAAGCCTCCCAGAACTTATTTCCATGTCTGCATATGCGTATATATATATGTACGAGGCTCGTTAGTATTGTGTCGCTTGTCTAAACGACGGCAACGGATCGTATATTTTCCCTTTTGCTTCCTCTCAATGTTCCGCCACAAACATTTATACAAAACGATGTTATATTTATAAAATCGATTAAGGAAACCCAGCGCGTGCGACGCGACTCTGTTGTTCATAAAATTCACTTGGAAATGGACCCAGCTCGATAAAGTCAGCCAAACGTCGAAAGAGCCGAATATTTTTCTCCCGCTTCTGTGTCCGTTTTGGCGTTCTCGCGCGCATAGATAAATGATAAATATCGTACGTGTATTATATATTCGTATAGACGCACTCTTTGTAGCTCCAAGTGCAGCGCGCCGAGCATTTAGCAAAACTCGTCGGTTTGCTTGAGGATATACGGTGTTGTTGACCCAGGCGCGCGCGCGCGAGCGATGCAAAACAACAACCACTTACAATATATATAGGTATATAACACATTCAAACGCGTGCAGCGGGAAGCGAAAAAAGCAACACATACTCTCGCACACACGATTGAGAATGAGGTGCGCGCTTGGCAGCATATCGGGAGGAGCAAGCGGAATATATTTCAAGTTTTCAGTGTTGAGGCGCACGGTTCTCCTCGCCACGCTCTCACTCTTTCTCTCTCTCTTTCTTTTGCTCACTGTGGCACAGGAAGAGGCATAATTTCACGCGTCGCCTTGTTCACGAGCAAAATTGTTGCTTTTTTCTTATTACAGTTTCATCGGGTTCGCGCATAATTTTAAAGCAATTAATTTAATCGATCATATTTCGAAATGAGCTCGAAATTCGACGCAACGCGTAGCCTGTGCTGCAATTCGTTCTATACGTGAAGCAGTAAATCGGAGGATCATGTGTCCTATATGAGCTAGATGTAATATACGTTACGGAGGGTTTATCGAGTTGTACCTGTGCGTATACACGAGATCAGCGTATACCTGAGCAGCTCACGCGCCTATTTAGCTCTCAAATCGCGCGTGACGTAAATATCAGTGCAAGTTAGAGAGCGATCCGCGCAGCGCGAAACGATAAGATCCCTTGTAACTTTATCCCGCTGGAATCGTTGGTTAGTAATGCATACGCGCGAGTACAGAGCTGAGCAATAATCAAAAGCCATGGTCATATTTTGTAGCTTCCCGTTACATAATTTTTCCTTTATTCAAATAATAACGAGCACTGGTTTTTCTCGTTTTTCAAATCCAAGAACCAAATGGCAGTGCGTGTTATTGAGCGTAGCATAAGCATAAAAATTAATTGGATGACTAGTTGGTATAAATATTTATTTCATGGAAGAAAAATACTGTGAATTAAAGTCTTGGTGAAAAAAATCGAAATCCTTTCCTGACAGACATTATTTTCGACGCTCGCATTCTTATATTTTTCAGTCGATTACGAATACATGTGTGCATATACGTTGAAGCGTGTAAAAGAGCAAAGCCTGTAGCAGTGTGCAGAATGCGTCAGGTGGATGTAGGTGGTCGAGTGAGTAAAGAGCAGCTCGCACTGAAAACGAAGATGCAGCAACGTTCCGAGGATGATGTTGCCGCCACTGCCGGTGCTGCCGCTGCCGCTGCTGCTGTTGCTGCGGCAAGTATACGATGGAGGAAAGAAAGAAAAAAAGAAACTCGAAAGAGAGCAAAAAGAGAAAGAGAAAAAAAGGAGATAAAAAACGAAGCAGAGGCAGCGTACAGGGCGTGCAAGAGGAGAAAAACGACGAGATTCTGAACGGAAAAAGACGCCGTGTTCTCCTCGTCGCGGTAGGTTCAGGGACGTATATCCAAATCCTTTACTTGATAAGGATTTTGAATCGACATTTAGATTTTATTTGAAAATTAACGTTTTTCATTTAATTTCACCTTTGTAGGATATTTTCTAAATTGATAAAGCGAAAATTTATTATATTAAAAGTAGTAAGCGATCGAATCGATTTTACTGGATTTTTCTCTTCCATCGCCTACGCTCTTATGTATGCTATAAATGCGTTAAATTCTGCACCAGTGAGAAAATATAAAGCTAGCGAAGTCGGGGCTCCGGCTTTGCTGGTCCTTGTACTATTGCTATGATTGTTGCTTTTTTTAACGCAGACGTGGCCCCTGCTACACTAGATTTACGTTTCGAGATGTTGTAGAAATTACAGTGCACACGATAAGTGCGCACATGGCTGTGGAAAGATCCGCTTGCTTTCTCAGTCACATGCGCTGCTCGCGCGGGAGCTGAAAAAGCCGCCTCTGTTTCTGCTGCTGTGCAAATGCTTTCTCTCCACACGGCACAGCGGCAGCAGCATCGGCGACTCCGCTCTGCGGCTATGAAGAGAAAGAAGAAACTTTCTCGCTTGTGTACTTGCCATAGCACACACAGAAGAATTGGCGCGTGCTGTTTTCCTTGCGGTGACAGGGCACACGTGCGTACTCGATTTTTCGACAACCTACATTGCACATTTACACGAGCACACGGCCCAGAAACTTCACCGATTAGGCTAACGAGAATCTTTCATCAGTTTTCTGAGTGGCATAGAACATGTGGGACTTCAAAAATCAAACCAAAAAATGTTTAATTCAAACGAGTGTACGCAGAGAATGCATTTCCGTATTTCACAGCTGCCACGCACGTACTACCTTGACAATTGTCATATGATTTAGATAATTAATTACCGTATAAAACTAGTACAATCACTGCAGAATTTAAAGAATCGTGTTCAACAGAGACACAGAGAGCCCTAGTCGATATTATAGGTTGAACGACTCGCATTTATATACCTGCATGCATGAACAACGTCTCGAAAATTGCAACATTGCATGCTAATCTATTGGAGACTTTCTTGATTGGCATGAGAACGAATGAAGTAATAATCTTTGAATTGATTCGTACGCGTGCTGCTGTCGCGATTTTTTCGTACATACAGACGCAAGCACATTTATGAACATTGTATAATTCATTGCGCTCGCTTTATCTGAACACCGATTTTTTCTACGCTTGTGCGCGGAGCTTCATCTACTTCGATAGACGCTACTAGCGCATCAACATGCGCATATGTATATATACATTTATATATATCACTACAGTGAGACTGATAAGTTATCGCTAGTGGAGAGAGAGAGAGAGAGAGAGAGAACTAGTTAAGATAACACTATTTCCGCACGTTTCAGCGGCTTATTTTACATTTAAATTTACAAGTGTTGCGCGGTTTTGTCTTCTTCTTTGCTGGGTACACA